GTGTAGCATCAGAGATGGAACAGTTAGCTGTGTGCAAGGCAAGTGCCTTACCTGCTGTACTATCACTCCAGCTCCAAATAACTTTTATATGCACTGGGAAATAAAAATCCATATGACTCACTTTGCCATGTTATTTGTCATACTGGGGTGACCTAGGGGCCTATATCTGGCAAGTCTAACAAATTTGATGAAAGTGTTATAATAGCAAAAACCAATTTATAAGTAGGTCTTTAAGACGCACTAAGCATGACAAACCTGGTTCTACAACTCTTTCCAACACAGTTCATGAAGACTTCCCTTTAAAAGACTACGATTAGAAATATATGCTGAGCATCTGGTTCATCCTTGGTCCATGCGATTAGGCCTCACAGGTATAAACACAGACCCAGGGGGTCAGCATTCTGTTAGGAAACACCATATAGGAACTGCTTCTATCCTCTCTCTGATCCTTCCACTGGTTACATATGGTTGGTTTTTCCGTTCACAAGGTGTGATTGGAATCACAGGCAGGTCAACCTCTATGTGCAAGAGTTAGCAAGGAAGGTATTGCAATGTCTTAGTCAGAGTGTCCTTCATCCTCTGCTTAGGAGGTCATCCTTTCTACCTGAAACCATTGTGCTGTTTTGAAGGCTGAGAGAAGACTATTTCTTCATGGGAATTTCATTAGGAACCCCTCCCCCCAAAGATCTTTTCAATCTTACCAGACTACAACCAAAAAACAAAATGAAAACCAAAACACAGTTAAATGTATCCTCATCTATGCCTTAAGGACCCTGACCTAGAAACGGCTAGAGGGCCACCAAACTTAGGCTCTGAAAGTAAGGGAAGGAATGCTGAATCATGCTGTTCTTAAGAAACAGCTGTAAGACACTCACTGCTTCCAGGCCATTTCTTCTGCCTTGGGATCTGTCCCATATTTTGTGATTTATATTTGTTTCTTGAGACAATTCATTCTAAAGACCTGTGGGTGGTCAAAGAGAACTGTGATTCTATTCTTACATAATGGTTTACCACCCAAACATTTAGGCGTTCAATCATAAGGTCCCAAACACAGAAGTTAATTAGAGTAAAAGTTTCATATGCTGCAAATTGATCTTTAAAGCACTTTATAACACAAAAACATTAACCAAAGACTTACTATGTACCGGTTAGGGTGCATACATATGAGAAATCCCAGTCATTCACGGGAAAGAGGCAAACCTTGTGAACTGCTAAATTATAATGAAACAGATGAATGCTATTTTAACAGGTACATGTGCAAGGTTGCTTGGGAGCATATGGAAGAGGGAGAACAGGGAGCTCAAGAAAGATTTGGTAGAGGTGAATGACGTGGGCTGGATCTGAAGGATAAATAAAAGTTCTTCATGTGGGAAGGAGCTGGTCCGGATGAGAAAGAGGGATTTCAGAGCCAGGGGCACATGAAAACAGTGGCAGGGAGAAGAAACCTAGTGCTGAGGCCAGAATTAATAGGTTTTGACTCTGTATGTCCACACGCCCTTACCAATATTTATAAGAATATAAAAAAAAGAGCTACACCTATGCCTGGTACACAATATCTTTCTATGACCATTATCATGTACCTGCTGTTGGTACCATCACCACCACCTTATCCCCAGGGTTGAAAGTAATAAATACTTGTTTAATGAATGAATGAAAGTCTGTGCCTTCTAAGAAGGAAAAAGAAGAGAAATGAAGGGAAGTTCTTTTCTACAGGTTGGCTTCAGTCATCTGAAGGTCATTCCACTATTCCTAGTAGTTCTCCCCCAAATCGGTGCTGGGTTGGGTGAAAAATAACCATAGAGCATTACCTTTACATAGTATTTTCAGCTTTCTTGTATTAAAATAACTATAATCTTGAATGCAAAACTTTTCATCTCAAATCTGAATCCCACTTTCAGGCATAAACTGAAATTCTTATCTCTAGATTTGGGTTTCTCCTAGCTTCACCAGAGGGATTCAACTTAAGCACAGCCTGCCCTGTCATCTGCTCTTACCCTAATCTAAACACAGAAGGAAAAATAGCAAAGGTACAAAGGCTCTGAAAAGGTAGAACCTTTTCAGAGGTTCAATACAGGGGTTAAGATACTTGCCTTGTACATGGCTGACCTCAGTTCGATTCCAGGTAGCACATATGGTCCTCAGCACTGCCAGGATTGATCCTGAGCACAGAGCCAGGAACGGCTGCTGAAAACAGCTATGCAAACCCCAATCCTAACCCCCAATCCCCACCCCCCAAGAAAAGAAAAGGTAGTACCTTCACTTACTTTGCAAAGTCACTGTCTAGTTTCCCTGTAATTCAATTCAGTTTTCTTCTACTGCAAAGGGTTTACAGAATACAGCTGTCCTACAGCAGAGAAATGCCAAATCATGAGGCTGGAAATGAGGAGATAAGTTTTTCACATGTGAGGCTGTTCATCACTGGCGCTGAACAAGTGACTTCATCACTTTAGGGGTCAGGTATTTAGGAGTCAAGAGTCACATGTTTCTTTATTCATTCTGAAGTCTGCATTGCGTGCCTACTCTGTGTATGCATAAGGCATTATTCTAGTCATTTACAGCAAATGAACGCTGGTGCTTCTATTTTGTAAATCAATCCACCACCACCCCACCCCATCCGCCCACCTACCCAAACACACACACGCACACAGAAAATCTTTGGGTAACCTTTGGGTAACCTAAGGGCTGGAGTGCAGTGGGTAAGGAGTTTGCCTTGCACATGGCCAAACTGAGTTCAGTCCCCATATGGTCTGCCAAGCACTGCTAGGTGTAATTCCTGAGAGCAAATCCACAAGTAAACCCTGAGCATCACTGCGTGTGAACCCCCGCCCAAAGTAATCTAATAAGTGTGATATGTTTTGATTTGTGTGTGGCTGCTTCTTAATTATTACAAAAACTAAAACTGCATTAAAAAATAAAAACCTATAATTTTTTAAAGCCTATATTTCCCCCGGACCACGAAAATAACTGTGAATTTTCTTACAGTTCAAAAAGAAATAACTGCTAAATTGTGAGTAGATTGAAACACGCAGAAATTCGAGTAAAAATTAAATCTTTTTAGATGAAATAAAATTAACTATTTCCTGCAGTTGCAAATTCAATTTTCTCTTTTTCAAGAGTTGATCTTCAGGGGCTGGAGCAATAGCACAGCGGGTAGGGCATTTGCCTTGCACGCAACCAACATGGCCGACCCGGGTTCGATTCCCAGCATCCCATATGGTCCCTCGAGCACCGCCAGGAGTAATTCCTGAGTGCATGAGCCAGGAGGAACCCCTGAGCATCGCTGGGTTTGACACAAAAAGCAAAAAAAGAAAAAAAAGAGTTGATCTTTATTTGCTTATTTTTTGTTTGGGGGCCACACCTGAACTGTGCAGAATTTACTCCTTTGTGTTCAGGGGGCTCAAAGAACCGTACACGGTGCTGGGGACAGGTCAGCCTCCTACAAGGCAAGACCCTGACCTGCTGTACTCTGCCCAGGCAGGCTGGTTCTTTAAAATGGCACATTAGAACCCAGACAGAGCACCTTCCCCTACACTTCCATAGAGATTCTGATATGTTTAATAGGAGCAGGATGTGAGGTTTTGGTTACACAGTTCAAAAAAGGCATCTGTCTAGGTTATAAATTTAACAAAATAAGTTAAATGAAGATCAAGTAGTCAGGAATGGAAGTGAAAAGACACATAGTAGCTGAAGTTCTGGATGAGTAAAGGAGAGGAGACTGTCCCAGTGCAGAAGTGCTACATAGATCTGGGTATCTGGAGGAACTTCAACTCCTAGGCTTATAAACAAGAAACCTGATATCTAAAGACATAAAGTGACTTGGCCAAGGCAAAGCTGAGATACTTGTGGGCCAAAAAGCTGTAATAAGAGCCCAGACCTGCAGATTCCCTGTTCAGGAATCAGTTGTACATGAATCGTGAGAGTTTCAGCAAGTTGAGGAGAAAGGGGCACCCTTTAGGATTGAAGACACCGTTTCAGACTAAATGTCAGATGCTCAAGAATTACAGTCTTCTCCAACCAGCTACACAATCTGATATTACTTATGAGGGTTTAGCTAAATTTATGGATTAAAAAAAATATGCTACTTCCCTCTTAGAAAAACATCACATTCAGAATCCGAGTCTTAAGTAACCTGCTCCAAATTGGGAGTTCTTTCCTCACCAAACGAGCAAATCGTGAGTGTACTTAACCAGGAATGATTGAAACCACAAACAGCACACCAAGAAGCACCTGCAGGGCCCAACCTTCCACCTCCTTGGGTGGGGGCCCTCCCTCCTCAAGTGGCCGGGGAGGGTTTATTCTAACCCACAGACTGCTCAAGCCCGCGGTAAGAATAATCAACAGTCTAAAAACACACTTAACCTTCTGAGGTTGGGGTCAGGGGCGTTTGATCACTTCTTACGCCAAAGCCCTCTTGGGCCTGTGGTGGAGAAGTCAGAGAGGACAGAACAGTTCATATCTGAACTGCAGGCTTTTCCGGAATCGAACTTTAATACCTGTAGGAAGGAGGGTGCGAGCAAGGAAACTCATCCCACGTCTACGCCTCCGCATCCCATTCGAGCGGCGTCGCCAATCTTTCTCGGGTTTCCTAGTTGGGGAGTAACAGCCTGAGTCCCAGAAAACTTCTAGAACCCTTCCTTCGCCTTGGGGGCGGTTTTGCAACACGCAGCCTGGGTCTCCACAGTTAAACGGACGGAGGGAGATGCCAAGGGGCTTTGCATGTGGGGTTGGCCGCGTGCTTTTCCTCGGACCTCCGGGCGGTTGCAGGTGGACTCGGCCCCCCAAGTGGAAGAATCAATCGCATCCCCCCCCCCCCCATGCCAGCCGCAGGGTGGTCAAGGGCGGGGGTGGGGTGGGTGGGGAGCTGTCCCCGGGAGCGCCGAGCTAAGGGGGCTTGGCCCCAGCGCAGAGGTTCGGGGAGGGCGGGGGGTCCGGAGGAGACGTGGCGGGGGAGGGGCAGGGGGAGCCCGGCGCCCCCCGGTCCCCCGGCGCGCCTCACTCACCCAGGTGGCCGCCGACCACGGTGACGGCGATCTGGTCCATGAGCACCGCCCGGAAGCGCACGTCCTGCTCGGAGCAGCGCTGGCGGAGGGCGCGCAAGATCTGCACCTGCGGGTAGTCCTCGCGGATGCGCCGGTCGGTCAGGAACCAGAGCTGGGAGCACATGGCTTCGGCCCCCCGCCGGCGTCCCGGGCAGCGCGGCTCGGCTCGGGCCCGTGCGCCAGGCGCCTCTGCAGCCCTGACCCAGCGAATCTGCCGGCCCCGCGGCGCGGCCGCCGCCGGCCCAGCCAATCAGCGCGCGGCGGAGGCGCGGGCCGCGCGGGCCGCTGCAGAGGCGGCCGCGGCGGGCGGGCGGGCGGGCGGGCGGCGCCCGGGAGGGGCGGCGGGGCCGGGGCCGGGGCGGCCGGGGCGGGGCGCGCGGCCCCGGGAGTCCGGGAGGCGCGCGAGCTGCACGGCGAGGCCGAGCGCGGGCATCCCGGCGCGGCCCCCTCCGGCCTCGGTGGGCGTGACGCTGGCGGCCAGGGTGCGGCTGCCCGCGAGGGAGGGGCCGGGGCGGCGGCCCGGCTGGGACAAGGTCCCCGGTGACCCGCTAACTGGGCGCAGCGGGCGGCGGGGGCACCTCCAAGGGGGCTCCCAGCACGCCGGGGCTGGAGGCTGGCCGGCCTCCTGCAGAGCCTGACGACCCCAGGGGGCTCCGGCCGGCGAAGGTCATCACCCAGTCGGGCCCCCGGATGGCCCCTGGTGCTGGAGCGCTGGCCAAGTGCTGACCTGGAGCAGCGGGCGGGAACTGAGCGCCGCTTGACTGCGGTCCGAGCTCACTCGCGAACAGCTGCAGGTGCGTGTCTCGCGGTCTCTTAGGCTGGACCCCCCACAGCGCTGCAGCCTGCTGCCCCGAGTTCGCAGCACTTGGGCACCCGGAGACCCCTCGATGTGATGACCGCGTTGTTGAGACGCCTTCTAACCAGCAGGAGCATTGCTGCTCTTCCCACCTGCCCCGCCATCCAACTGAGTCATCTCTAAAACACCATCCTTGGTCCTAGCCAATTGTCTGCAGGCAACGGTGTCAGGAGCCAGGTTTTTCTTTCTAAATAGCTGCAAGACTGAAGCTAGCTTATCTCTGCACTAGCTCTTCCAGCTCATTGACATTCATAGCAAGGCTGATTTTTTTGTTTTTCTTTTTTTTTTAAATTTTTAATTTTTTTTTTGTTTGTTTAGGGAAGCAGCAGCAATTTCAAGACATCCCAGCAACAATAGCTTACGGGGTAACCTAAAGGCTTCACTTCAAATAGTATGCAGGTGTGTGCGTTCGCCCACCTTCAATGCCTTTGAAAAAGTTTTGTACTAAAGGAGTTTCAAGGATACCTTTCCAAGTAATACTACACAACTCCTTTGTGTTGCAAAATACCCCAACCCTCTCCCCAGAATGTAGTTTCTTTTTCTTTTTCTTTTTGCGTCACACCCGGAGATGCACAGGGGTTACTCCTGGCTCATGCACTCAGAAATTACTCCTGGCGGTACTCAGGGGACCATATGGGATACTGGGAATCGAACCCGGGTCGGCCACGTGCAAGGCAAAATGCCCTACCCGCTATGTGCTATCGCTCCAGCCCCAGGAATGTATTTTCTTAAGTACTAGTGTCTCAGGCTGGAGCGATAGCACAGGCGGTAGGGCATTTGCCTCACTCGTGGCCAACCGGCCAACTGAGGTTGGGTTCCTTCGCCTCTCTCAGAGAGCCCAGCAAGCTACCGAGAGTATTTCGCCCGCAGGCAAAGCCTGGCAAGCTCCCCGTGACATATTTGATATGCCAAACACAGTAATAAGTGTCACAATGGAGACGTTACTGGGCCCGCTTGAGCAAATTGATGAACAATGGGAGGACAGGACAGTGACTAGTGTCCTGTGGATGGTATCTTGTAGCCACTAAACTTTCTCTGTAGTAGAAAGTAGCCATTTTCCTCTGGTATATATTTTGTTTACCCTGATCCTCCCTAAGATCACATAATGAGCACTTGTAAGATGGGTCAGAACCATAACTCTGGATCAGTGATTTACTCAACAGCAATAACTGAGTTGGTAAACTGAGGAGTTGCACAGGAGCCATTCTCAACATCACCTACACAAGACTAGAAGCCAAATGCATATGCAAGTGACAACCAAACTTCTCAGAACCCAGACTTAAGAAGATGATCTGAGGATCCAGATCCTCACACTCACTGACTTTGCACTTCCTGGCTAGGAAGTCGTTGGAGCTTCTGTCATCTTCCTTTTCTAGATTGGGTAGTCAGGACCCATTACAGTGTCATAGTCAGTTAAGAAGTGAATGGGGCCAGAAAGATAGTAAAGAGGGTAGGGCCTTTGCTTTGCAAATGGCTGACCAGGGTTCGACCCCTGGCATCCCAAATGGTCCCCTGAGCACTGCCAGGAGTAATTCCTGAGTAGGGAGCCAGGAGTAACCCCTGAATATCACTGGGTGTGCTCCCCACACACAAAAAAATAACTAAGTGACTATACTGGTATAGGTGGAGTGTTGTGTTACTTTGCCAAGAGTCCTCAAGCAAAGTTAGCTGTCCCAAATATAGGGCTATTTTTCTAATCTGAATTTAAAAAATATTTCTCACATAGTTATCTCCCAAATTCAAACCTCACCCTGATGTCTGAATTTCAGCAGTGGAAACAGACACTGTCCTACCATTGCCTCATCACCAAAATTAAACATATTCTTTTTTGCTGCATTCCAAATTCAATTGTCTTAACCTAGAAAATAAATCCTTTTATATAACAAGAAATCTAGGAGGAGGTCTGATCAGGGGATAGTTCTTTCAGTAGCTCCCTGACAGTATCAAGGATGTGGATTCTTTTCACTCTGGCTTCTTTGTTCCTCATAGTTCAAAATGCCTGCTACAATTTCAGGTTCTCTCTTCTCTCTCTCACTCTTTCTTTCTCTCTCTCACATACACACACTTGCACACACAAACACACAATGTACACCCCCATATAACTTTTTTTATTACTAAAGGGATAGAAAAAGAAACCTTATCTGAGAAATACACAAGCCAATTTCCCACAGTCTCCTACAGCTAAACCAGTCACCAGAAAGTAATAAGAAACCATTATGAATAGTTTCTCATTATAATTTGTCACCCATTACTGGGATTCTCTTTCCCAAAGCACATGCAGAGTTAGGTGAATACCTGCGAAAACTTGGGATTTTCTTTTTTCCTTTTTGTTTTGAGGCTGGGTGCTGTTTGCTTCTTTACTGATGAACTGGTGTGTCAGATTTCAGAAGGGAGAATGTTGGGAACGATATATCCATCCTGCAGAATTTGGTATGTGGGCAGGAGGACATGGCTATCGAAGAGATCCGAGTAGAAGTCATGGATAATCTTCTCCACGCCCCTTCTGGAAGATGTGATAAATCCATCAGGACATCGGAGGGCAGTCATCTTGGTCTTGTAGTTGGCAAAGGACAGGCGGGCGTTGTGACTGCTTTTCCCAACTTCTGCTGCATCTGCCAGCACTGCCGCTCTTCTCTCTTTGAAGTCTTTCTTTATCCCTTCCCTGCACTGCTTTGCAAGCTCGGACATTCGCTTACGGTTGGCAAATGAGCTCAAGAGTTTTCAAAGACAGCGTCTTTTTGTGGCTATCTTTCTCTTGGCGTTCCTTGCACAATCATGGAGGAGTTGAACCAGTTGATTGTATTCTTCATCAATGTTGTCAACAACGGTATCTTCCCATGTTGCTGCAATAGTGCCATAGAACTCCCAGTTGGTGGTCATTCTGGGAGTTTTCTTCTTAAACTTTGCAGCCCTTTCTTCCCACTCCATGAAGTAGAATTTTGCACAAAGGAGACAGTAGTCCAATCCCGCTTGAAATTTTAGGACAACAGCGACATCAGTCAGGCAAAACCGTTGATTGAATATGATGTGATCAATTTCATTGTGGAACCGTCCACCAGAAGACTCCCATGCCCAACATTTAGATTCGGCCTTTTGGAACTGTGAGTTACCATGGATGGTCTTGGTCAACATGATGAACTCAGACAGTCTCTCACCCTGTTCGTTCTATTCTAGGCCATGGGTACTGATGTGGATTTCTTCGGCTGATCTTCTCTGTCCTATCTTGGCATTAAAATCACCAACAATGATCTTGTAGAAGGTGTGGTCTTCTTTATAGAACTTCTCCAGCTCCATGTAGAATTTCTCAATTTCTCCTTCAACTTCTTCATCCTTTCTCCTCGTCTGATCAGACAAGGTCAGAACTGAACACCTGAAGAACCTGCCATCAGTACTCATCAATACACTGGCTCAGTTCTTCACTTGCTACCTGTCTGAATGCAAGGTTCCATCCCAATAGAAAACCAGCAGGACTGTATTACTATTACTAAAACAGGAAGTACAAGAAGGGAGACATTCATGACATTGGCAACTATCGCCCAATCTACCTGTTTTCTGTCGTCTACAAGCTGTTCACTCGAGTCATCCTGAATAGGATTGGCAGAACACTAGATAAAGGACAACCAGTGAGCAAGCCAGGTTCTGAAAAGGATTCAGCACAATCGGTCATATCCACACGATAACCAAGCTCATTGAGGTTTCTCGGGAGTTCAAGATGCCACTCTGTCTAATATTCATTGATTTAAAGAAGGCTTTGATTCTATTGAGACTGAAGCGGTCATCAAAGCTATAGCCAAACAGCGCATTCAAACTCAATACATCAGGATCCTCCATGAGCTCTATGATGGATTCACTACCAGGATCTCACCATTCTACAAGGAAGTGATCATCCATGTCAAGAGAGGGGTTCAGCAGGGTGATACCATTTCACCGAAAATCTTCAGTGCTACCCTCAATGGGAATGGGAAGGAATGGGAGTGAAGATAGATGGTCGGCAACTACACCACCTCTGCTTTGCTGATGACATCGTTCTAATAACACCAAACATTAGCCAAGTGGCACAAATGCTGGCCGACTTCAACCATGAGTGTGGGAAGGTTGCTCTACAACTGAATCTCATGAAGACAATGTTTATGAGAAATGGTCTCTTTCCTGATGTTCCATTCACTCTCAACGGAACGAACATCTCCAAATGCAACAGTTATGTGTTCCTAGGTCGAGAAGTCAACATGACAAATGACATGGCCCCTGAGTTGTGCAAGAGGAAGAAAGTGGCTTGGAACGCCTTTAAGAGTGTCAGTGAAATAGCTAAGAGGATGAAGAATCTCTGGCTCCAGGTACATCTCTTTGATTCCAC